TAAAAAGCCAACCTTTGCCTTTTTTTTTTTTTTTTTTTTTTTTTTTTTTTTTTTTTTTTTTTTTTTTTCCCCCCCAAAACATGGAGCTGGAGCTTCCTGCTTGTTAGGCTGGCTGTTGTGCTGGGGTGGAGTAGGGTGATATTAAGAGGACAGCACTGGCAGCCAGCACAGCTGCCAAAAGAAGGCGAGACCTAGTTTTCACCCATTCGATTCCTTTTTCAAAAATGCTGCCAGCCCAAGCTCCTCGCAAGGGCTGACAGAAACCTTGGTTGCTCCTCGGGGCACCCCACGCTCCCGCTGCCCAGTCCTGCCCCATGGAGCGCTGGGCGCAGAGGGGAGCTGGTGACACCACATCAGACCTTAATGCCAGAGACAAACTCCTCTCTAGATTGAAGCATTTGCTCCCATCTCTAGCAAAGGCTGTTCCTATTCCTCCCGTATGTCTTCAAAACCATTCTCTGATCCTGTTCCTTCTCTCTCCTATCTGTTTCGCAGCACACTGAAACCAACAGCTGTGTGCCCTAGCAAGAAACAGCAGCTCCCCCTTGCACCCCAGGGACAGCAGAGAAGCCACTGTCTGGCCACAGCCAGGAGCCACAGCACGGCCTCCTCCCTCACAGGAGTCCTAATACGCCTGATTCCCCAAGCCCACAGCTGCGAATCCCAGGCGGTGACATGGAGACAAGGCGGTGTTATTTAGAGATCCTAATTGAGATCACCACCTCTCTGTATCCACAGCTGCTCTGAAGACCTCATGTCCGAGCGTGTAACTATTACTGGGTCTCCCAATGAGATCTGTGTCTGCTCACAGAGCTGCTGCGGGAGAGTCCCCTCTTGTCCCGAGATGAGCCAGAGCTGTTGCAATGCCCTACTTTCTCCCCTAGCCTAGATCTGCTTCTAGCTCCAAGGATGCAGCTCAACCCCTGCGTCTTCAGGTTCACTTTGTCCTTTTCTCTGATGATCTCGTTCCTGCCCCTGCGCTGCGTTCTGCCTGTAACTGTATTCTCGTAGCAGCTCGGCACATCAGATTAGGAAACTGGTTCAGCTGGGAGAAAAACGCAGCATGATTTTCTGGTTATTTTTCAGCTGGATCAGTTTCCCAACTTGGTCCACCAGATGACCACAGAAATACTTCTGCTAGCATTAGCATGGGGCTACTCTGGGGTCAGGAACAAGCAGCTGGGGGCCAGTGATTTGTTTCGAGACAGATCAGCTCCTTGAACCAGGTCTCAAGATGTCCATCTCTGCACCAGTGCCTGCACAGAGGAGGAAGCAGGAATACAAGGGGCGGGAAGAGGGCCTGGCCAGCAGCCTGGGCTTGGATTGGCTGAACCAAATCAATTACTGAGGGAAAAGAACAAAAAAGAGACTTACCAGTTGCTTAAATTTATTCCTTTTTTTCAGAAAAAACACTTAAAAAGATTGGGTAGCCGGACACCCTCCAAAGAACATGAACTTATAAACCTTTTGGGGTTTTTTTTGCCGTTGCTTTTTCAGACCTGTTAAACATCCCAAGGCTTGTCTACCTTTTCCATTTACATCACCTGATGTAACAGAAGATGCTACACCTTCATACAAGGTGGTCTCTGTGTTACTATTCACACTGATGAAGAGCACAGCAAGCCCAGTTATGCCTATGGGCCGACAGGCAGTTCCTGGCTTAAGGGATTCAGGACCTAAATAGACTGGGAGAGATGAGGTCAGGAAAATTATTTTGGATTTCAGACTCCAGAGAACAGCAACAGCAATTAAAGTCATAACTGAAAAACAGCCAGAGTACCATCCAAAGCTGTAATTGCTCATCTTTTGGCTAGTTTAACGACAGAGGTTTGACAGACAGATCACGGGCGGAGAGGTGCTGCCCAGTGCACCTTTAGCTAAATGCACCCTGTCAGGGCTAGCTACGGTGTGCTACTGCGACAGCACACGACCCATGGCATGGAAATGGCAGAGAGCGAACACAGCGGCCTCCCAAACACCGATCATCAGTGGGTCTCAAACAGGGAGAAATGAATGGAGAAATAGCTGTTCTCCCAGAGCTTTCTTAGAGCCCCAGAGAAAACTGATCCTTACTTGTCGCAATCTGAATTGGATCTTGAAATAACTAAAATATACCCACTTTACCCAATGACCTCTATTAACATAGCTAATTCTGAGTCTCCTGGGTTTTTCCAAATCAAACACACTCCGACATCTGCTCGCAATAAAAGCAGATGACAGCTCTTCTACACGTACAGTGCAAGCTGACTCCCCGTTAAAATAAAAGCACCCCCATGTCCATTAAATAGAGTGTAACTTTTCACTTGCTTGATACATACATACATCAATGGATGTAACTCGGAGGGTTTGAGGTCTGAAACAAAACAGACCAAAGATGATCTTTTAATAGCCCGTGCTATTAAAAGTGGGGCTCTTGGCTGCTATGCCTGAGTACTCAGGTGGGTATTGCCGCAGGGAAAAACATGCCCTGTTCCACAGCAGACAAACCCCAAAAAGGGGGGTTTTGGGCGCCGTACAGAGCGGGGAGCACAGTTATTACCAGCCAGCTTCAGCCTGCCCGATGCCGAGTTAACATGCCGTTTTCCCTGTGCTGTCAAAGCCTTTGTCACGGTGATAGCCCGTTTCCTCTTTTTGTTAATATCTCTGTCAAGAGAATGAAGCAGCAGAATTGAAAGCGCCACGGTGTGCGATAGCACTGTTCTGCTTAGGCTGCGCTGGCAGCCTGCTGTGTTTTGATTAACTGGATGTTCCTCTAAAATTCCTATGAAATCATTTTTCTGTGGAAGTGCGGGGGAATGAAGGAGGAAGAAGCAGCTGGGACGGAGCTGGAGGCCGGCTGCCTGGTCACTCGGGAGCAGGCAGGGCCACTCAGGCTGCGGCCGCTCGCATCTCCTCCTGCTGCCTTGCCTGGTCCTGGGCTCTGGCAAGGAGAAACTGCTCTTCTTGCAAGTCACTTCCAGTTTCTACTCAGCAGTCCCAAGAAGAGACTGTCAATAAATGTCAGTTGTGCCCCGAGATATGTGAAAGGTACTTTGCAATGAAACCCAGAAGCCTTGAACTTTTACAAAATCTTAAATATCTGGCAAGCAAACTTAGTACATCAGCTTGCACGTACAGCCACTGTCACCCCCGCCACACGTAAGCCCCACAGTACAGGGGGGAGGTTGAGCTGACTTTCAGCTGTTTTGCAAACTTCTCCAGTGATCCCAGGTCTCATCGAGGCTGGTGCGATGCCGCTTGCGTGGTGCGCCTCTCTTCTGCCCCTTCTGCCAGTAAAGCCAGCAAGGGCTTTGCTAGTGGGGGGGCTTCCTTGCACGTCTGGTTGGGATGTGCAAACAAACAAAAAGAGGCCGCTTCACTTTGCCTTTTCTTGATCCCTGAAACTGAATGGGACAAAGCTGATGCACAGGGAACTCTAATTTTATTTCCTAGGGCACCTCACTTCTCTGTAAACAGGGATACAGAATCAGGGATCCCATTTCCAAGATTAAGCACAGTTCACCGGCAAGGCGCAATGAATCTAAATGTCCTCCTGTAGAAACTGCAGATACATCACACCCTGTGTTACTTGCTGCAGCTCTGAGAAGTGGACAGTGCAAATGGCACAGGATGCAAAGTAGCTAGGACTCAGTCATTCCTTTCATTGATCTCTGGTGTTACTGCTTAACTGAGATTGCAGAGGGCTTGTGTGTTACAAAACAATCTCTTTTCTCCTCAGAATTCATTAGTAAAACAGTTCTGGCAAGTACAATGTCCATATCATTCCTGTTGACTTACATCTACAGACTTTGTAACACCATTGCTCTGCAATCAATTGCAAGCTGGTATGGGATTAACTTTCCTGCCACTTACAAACTCAAGCTCATAAATGTTTTACAAAATATTTCAAAGTTTTTCTAATGAGTTGGTTTGACTTTTCAGTCTGCACACTTATTACAAATATCTCAGAATATTTTATGTATTAATGGACAAATTTGAAATGTATTTGTGATGACACCTCCCTCCCTCTTCTTCACCCTGCCTCCCCTTACTTATTACACATGCTTGATAAACTCCATGTGCTCCAGCAGCTTTGTAACACATACAAAAAGTTTGAGGCACGGGTTTTGTTTTGGTAACTCAAAGAACTATATCAATAGATTTAAAGAAATAGAGAGGCTTGGAGAGATGCCAGCGAAACCTGATGTCTGACTACTCCAAGAAAGAGTGCCACTCCACTTAAGCAACTCCCAGCCCAGTAGGGACAGTCCTCCCGCACCCTTCCCCATGCAGAGGACTCTGAACACTGAACATAGCTTAGACCTCTGCAACTCACTGCAACAGGGCAAATGATTTTATCCACAAACTCCCTTTTTATTACCTAACCCAACTGAAAAGAAAGCACTCCTGCAAAAAACTTCATATCCAAAAGCAGACATTACAAGTTGTTGTACTGTATGAGGTTTGACTACTGCTAACTTGCATTAAGCTCACTGAGAACTGGTTTTTATTTCCTTCGGGGGTTTTTGTATTGTTGTTTTTTGGTTTTTTTAATGGACAACAAATATTGGCATGGAGTGGAAAAGCAGGATGCCATTTATATGACACATCGTACTATAAGGACTTTTACCAGAATATTGAGACATGCTGCCTAATGAAAGAACGTGCCTAGAAATCCAACCATTTCTGAGTCAGATAATACCGGGCATTTAGCTGTAATGCTTGCAAACTACTCTTTCTTACTAAAGATCAAATGGACAAAGACAGAAGTGGGAAATGTATTGAACAAGACTGCAATGTAAAAATAACACAAATAGCACATGGCATCCGGAAGAGACATGAACCATGGGTATTTAAAAAATGAAATACGACAAATAAAACATAGGAAATGAGGACTTAAAATATTAAATCCAACAGAGGTGCACCAGAAATGAAGAAGAAAGAAAGGTTTACAAGCAATGGGCTGTTTTTGCTTTTCAAAACACCGGATAATGGTGCTGGACAAGAGGAAACAAAAAAAAAAAGGAAAAGATGTGGGAAAATGATGAAGGAAGTTTTGCAAGAAGAAACTGTCTTGGCAGGGAATGTGGATAGGATAATGTGCGTATACAGAATAGTTAACTGCAATAAAGCATCCACCACTGATAGCCAAAAGCAGCAAACTATCACGGCCGGGCTAGAGCACGAGTGAGTATTTTGGGTCACAGCAGGAAACGCCACACACTCTATTTTGTTAGGCTGCTGCAGTGTTTTGCAAACATGGAGGGAGCGGGGTGTAGATATGAAAAAGCAAGGCAGGTTGTTTCATTTGTTTATATTAAAAATAAATAGCTTTTGAAAATATGACCGAATCAGTAAAGAGTATGAAACACAATCCTCAGTTTGTTATGATTTAGCAAGTAAGAAGTGGAGAGAGGTAAAACCCATGCAAGAAACGCACACAATAGCTTTCAAAATCCCACTCAGTCCACAGAAGTGCTTTCAAGAGATCATGCTGGTATTGTTCTAAGAAGACCGCCTTGCTTCAAAGTCCAACAAAAATAGGCAGGTTTTTATAAAAGAAGCACCTTCCCCTGCCCAAGACCAGGCACAGCACACTCCCCAGGAAGATGCGGGTATGATCACGCGTAGCGTGATGCCAAAGGAGCTCACTGGTAGGAAACCTCTGGCAGCGCATCGTGTCGCTAAATGAAACCAGAGCACGCTTGGGGACTGCAAAGCCCTGTCAACTACCCACTCCCTGGCTTTAAACTTTGTAATGGTTTAAGAGCATAATTCTCAAGTTATTTCTTCTGATATCACCATAGCTTTACCTAATCTCAAAGAGTTACTCTGTCTGACCTCCAAGTGGCAGGGCTGTGATAATCTCAGGATATAAGCAAAGTAAAACTCATAGGGAGAGATAATATCTTTTATTAGTCTAACCGGCAGAGCTGAAGAAACCTGCCAAGTATGGACAGAGTCTACATTCATTAGAAGCAGATACAGCAATTTCTAGCTTTGTGTGCTGCAGGAACGCTGAGACTGCAGTTTATATGGGTCACAGGCAAGCAAGCCAGCTCAAGCATCACACCCAACCTAGCTAATTCCTTGTGGAGCCTTTGCAGCCAAGGTTTGAACAGCTAGATTGCTAAAATGCTAAGCTAGGTAGGGTAAGGCTAACCTGTGTGCTATGCTTTCTTGAACAGAGACTGAAGCACTTTTGCCACAGAACAGCAGCAACAGCTTCGTGCAGTGATGGGGACCTACCCAGGAACCCACTGGAGCAGCCTGGCAATGCTTGGGATATAGGGGTCCTGCCCAGCCCAGACCCCATCTGCTCCTGCCCCGCCTATCAGCAGGACTGAATCAAGACCGGGGCACAAGTTCACTTTAGCAGAGCTGCTTCTCTGAATTCATTCAGCTACTTCATTTCCATTTGCGCACCCTTCAATAGCTCTGTAAACGTACTTGTCTCATTTCACAACGCCTAGCATTTGGTAACGATATGAGGCTGGAAGTTCAGGTTGCAGTGATCTCTTTTCCCAGAGGATGAGGGTGGGAGAGGCTTTCTAATAGTTACCTCTTAAGATTAACCATTAAGAAATGAGAGCTTGCTAGAAGAAGAAAAAGCTACATAAACTTTTTATTAATGGAAGCCTTTGAAAAACTACAGAGCTAGTTTTCGAGCCAAGACTAAGAGAAATTCACAGCATCTTTGGTTTGTTTTCTTTTATGCATTTTTGACTTTGAGGTGGTGATAATGTGAATGCTAGGTGTTATGGTCTCTTTATAGTTTCACTATCTGAAGTCCACAGACCTTCATCCTTTCAGCATCCTTTGGTGCAAATATATGTGCACAAACTTACATATATTCATACATACAAAATAAAACATATTTCAAGAATAAACACATGGTATTATACAAAGGAATGAGTCCTGAGAGACTTATGACACTAAAGGTTTCTCTCTGTCCTTTGAAGTACTAGCTTTAAGGCATGAATTGCCACCGAGGGCCTTTTTTCTTTATCTTCAAATTAGAAACCACAGGCCTCAAGGTATGGCTGCCTAGAACTGCCTCTGGTACTCCTAGGAAAATGACTTCTTGCAGGCACACAAATTATGTAGATGAAATCACATCTCTCATGTATTAACTTGATGATAGACTCAGGCCAGGATTTTCTTACTAGGATCACATAAAAAGGGATGAAGAATTTCCCACAAAGGGCTTTTGAGCAGTGATTGTACATTTGTAAGGAGGAAATGAAAGTGCTCAGTGCTACCAAGCTTCAATTTTAAAAGACTGAATTCTCTGTTTTAAGCTCCATTACACCAGTAAATGACTAAATTGTCCTCAGACTACGGGAAGCAACGTGCAGCTTACAGTAGCTAAGTCTCACCAACAATAGTGCAATGGAGTACAAGCAAAAGAGGAGCATACCATGTTCAGAACGATGCGCTCACTTTAATTTCAGTTTACAAAATCTTAGCTGTACGGAGGTCAGCCTAGGGAGCAGATGTGTTGGTTATGACTCTCTCATTCTCAATAGGAAACTGAGAGCACCTTCCAGAATACAAGTTCATGAAGGAGCAGGTTTGACTCCATGAAGCCTCCTCCCAGCTCACGGAGCTTGCTCTGTAGGTGTTTGGCTATTGATCACTTTTTTCTGTAATGGAGATAGAGT